CTTTAGATGATCCTGTAAGCAGTTATCCTAGTAAAATTCGAGCTAGCAACCGCATATGGTTCATTAAATAATACTTAATACCCCTTTTTTAGGCCGGATTATACAAGATCGTCATCCCACTTTTCCCTTGCCCTGAGACCACTTTCGTAGTACTTCAGGACAAGGTTTCCAGGATAGGTCTATTGCAAGTCAGTTCCTACTCTCCMGGCGTCCAGGGATGCCTGCAGCTTTGTAGCCAGCATCAAGCTTTTTGGCGCACCTTTTACTGCCTCTTTTTTTTTTTTTGCATCCAGGAAGTTCCATTTCCCTTTTTTTAGTATATACAAGGCAACTTTCGTCCCTGGTTATCAATTTTTTCAACAAAATTTTCTAAAACSCAACCCAAACATGTTGTCGTGGTGCAAAAAMCAAGAGTGGTCGRAGAGTTTGGTSGCTCGAATGGAATTCGGAGTTTTCCACACCTCGACAATCGAAGAAAGCTGTCAACATAACCTTGWYTTTTGACCTACTGCTGGAACGTAAGCATGAATCCAAGAGTCATCGCCAGTAAGAACACGTCTCATGACATCCTAGTCGTCGGAAAGCATTGTTTCACAGATGTTAACGCGACGCTGTTTTTCGAAAAATCGAGTGGTTTTGGAGCCAATCGTGCTTTCACTTTTCCTAGGTCCAAATGATCATTCAAAATGATTTTCAATGAGAAATTGTGACATCTAGAAAAAAATATTTCGAAGAATAGGGTTTCAAGAGAAATTTAAATTAAAACATTTTACTATTTTTGCCCACAACTTGGCGGTTCATACACTTTTTGTTCCATTGTTAACCGATCTTGCCAACATTCATGTGTTGTCTTGTGGTCATGTGTATTTCTCTTCCATAAGTCTTGAAAGCGATATGGTTCTACTAGCTGACATTTTAGCAGCATGCTGAGTTGGAGCACCGTAGGTCAATTTCTTATCCATTCTTACACCGAGGTATTCTATGGTTTTCGTCTYTGGAACTGAATATGTAATAAATTTCAAGAAATATCCCGATACATTACACAACTTAATATGAAAGCATACGATTTATGTGAGCTTTTGWATTAATTCTTCCGAAATTAATAGGTCCCCACTTGTTTTGATTATAATTGATTTTTCCGTGAAACTAAATCCATAAAAATCTTACTCTATTATCAAAAATGTACCGCAAGTCAAAACAAGCAATACTCATTCCCGTTTCCTTAATATTCATTCGCTTTGCACGTGTTCCTAAGTGTTGTCACTGAGAACAAAAGTGAAGAATAACAAATCATTAATACAAAATTCGCGCTCATTTAACAGTCAAAGGCGCACAAACAAACGAGGCAGGTAAGTGGCTGCTGAACGGTAGTTGGGGATTGCAGAGAATTAAATTCAATTAAGAGTAACTATGAGATGAGCACTGCYGCACAAAGGCAGCGAAGCAGCGCAGACAGGAAAGCAATGAGGATGTAAACGAGGCAGAGCTCGCCATGCCATACACACAGACATACTCATACTCACAACAGACACAGCTGCATAGGTAGCGAGGAGTGCTGAATAATTCCTCAATTTAATGGCAACCTGCTATGCGACGCTTGACGGCGAGCAATAAAACAGTAAGCCTTGCTAAAGCATAGAGTGCTCGGGTAGGGAGAAGGAGGTAGTGTGCGGGATGGCTGAAGAGCTTGCATTTTCACTTACATATGTACGATRAAGCGGAGGCAGCACTGAAGCTGACGTATCATTAACTACGGCAGCGCGACGACAATAGTAACAATAACAACAGCAACAAAATCACTGCGCCATGCTCACACACACATACATATATATATATATATATGCACGTATTGCGTGAGTGTGTAGATGTCGGACGGAAGCGGAATTTCTCAATGTCTGCGTAATTTGATACATTTCCGGCGCTCTAGCAAAGGAGAAGCTGCCGATGACGTCGAGATGACAATAATGACGGTGAGCAAAATGAAAAGATATCAAGTGCCGAAATGAGCTTTTGCGGCGCGGTGAAGGGCGTTCTGCAACTACCGAAGGTGCCAGCGTGCTGAAGCATGTAGCCTGAAGCCATCACCAGGAGGATGATGATGTTGCCACAAATGGWGCAGATACGCAGAGAATGTGGAGTAACTGCTGATGCCATGAAAAACACGAAAACGAAGATGTCACCGAGTACTGGTGCCGCAGGTATGCTGGAATTCAAGAAGGCAACTGCTGACACATTGCGCGCGCGAACTCATCAAAGGTGAATATATACATCTATATCTATTTGTATGTATGTGTGCGTGTGAGCATGCATGATTGCTCGAGCAGCAAATGATTGCCGGTAAATGGTTTGCGTAGACTCGGCGGGTACTGGGGCAGCCCCACTCAAGTTTGCCTGGTGTGTAAAGCGTCGCAAACAACTCACGGAAAATAACTCAAGTAGTAAGTAAAGCTGATTATATGAAATTCTTAACTTAACAGGTTGCGAATAATACCTYGGTAGCTATGTAGGTATATGTGTAAGTGCGCTGTGGTCTTTTTAACTGCTTGACGATGCTGAGTTGACATTTAATTTCAACGCTKGTCCATTTGCGAAAGCGTAACGATGACGGCAAGTGAACAAAGGTCACCAGCGAGACAAGCATTACAATGAAACTTCCAATCATATATACATACATACACACACACACACACACACACACACATACATACATATCTGAAGAGCAGGAGGTCATGCCGATTATAATGACAATTTACCGACACGACTACATTCATAAAGTTGACAGTTCAATATAACTGGAGTGTAATGTAATGAGCGAAAACGATATGTGTTGCAAGTAGATTTGATGGCGCACTTGGGAAATAGCTCACGACTGTTCAATCTCAATCATGAAATGTGTCGCGCAACAAATCGCTTGCTCCTTCAAGTTATTTATACATACATAAATATATATATTTAATGTTATGACATACATATGATGGCGTTCAATCGAAATGCGGAAATTGTTCGCTACAGTTAATCGTGACACGTAGCCACTCAGCTGAACTCATTTCGAATGCGGAAATTAGCCAACGACATTTGAGCTTGTGATGCACATACATACTTAAAATGTTCTTTTTATATAAGAGTAATCCGTACTAGTAGCATTAATCCGCTATTTGCAACAAAATCTCATTAACATGTGCACCGACCTCTAGAGTTTGCTCGTAAATTCGTGAAAGCAGATACGCAGTTCAAAGTTTCTTTGAAAACATTAAAATTTATGTATGCCATAGAAAAAGTAGAGCTGCCAACTAGCAAGGAAATACATGGATTATTGCAAATAGGTAAAAAAAAAATCAAGAATCAGTCAATCAAGGAAACAAACATRAATAAAAAATTGGTCAAAATGTTAACTTCGGTTGCA